GATCGGGAAGGGAGCGGAGGGAGGGGCTCCTTCCTCCGCAGCCGGCCCCGCCCTCCGGCCCATTGGCTGGGTGCTGCCGCCCTCTGGCGGGCACGAAGCGAAGCGCTGGCCCGGGAGCGCCGCGGAGCGGAGGTCCTTTCGACTGCTAGGGGACTCGGTGCTTCCCTCCGCCAGAGCTGCCTCTCGGGGGCCCATATTTGCCCTCTGGCAGACTTGTTGCTACTCCAGGGCAAGACCACGACCTGCTGGCCGCACTGCCACTGCCCGCGGGCGCCGCTTCCTCTCGGTGGTGGCCCAGGACGCCTCACCTGAGGACAGGTGCACGGGAAGATGTCCCCCTCCCCACAGCCCTGCCGGAAATCCACCGCCAACGCCGCCTTCTGCTGTGCTTCTTGGCTCTAGGCTCTTGGAAAGACCACCTCACCTCTCCAGTCCTCAGTCTTTTCGTCTGTTAAATGGGGAAAATAGTAATCACCTCAAGAGATGACGCTTAAGTGCGCAGTGCAAGGCCTCGCATAGGGAAAGCCCTCCCACACACCCCAAGAGAAAACGAACTTCTAGCCAGTGTTTTAGTATTGTTGTTATGGGTCCACCTTCTCTCCCAGGCCCACACACCCTGTTTCAGATATGTTTGCCCCGGTGCAGGCGACAGGGGGTGTGGGGCAACTGTTGCAGGCAGTTGCCTCCGGGAGGCACCACTGTGGGAGTCAGCTCTTCCAGCCTGCTTGTCCTCTGCCTAGCACCCCCACTTTTCCAACACACACACATGATCTGGGGTCCTGCCTGCTGGGGTGGGCCTTCTGGCAAGGGTATCTTCCTTTCCGAAGGGGGCGGACCCTGTGGTTTCCTCCCAGGGTGACTTCCGGCAGAGAGGACTTGGCCCCCAGAGAGAGCGCGGAGGTGACACAGTTGTTCCCCTAGCCCTGCGGGGCGGGCAGCATGGTTCACTCCAGCATGGGGGCTCCAGGTAAGTGACCCGCGCCACTGCCGGGGAACACGGGGAGCCCCTTGGGGTTCATCTGCTGTGCCCATTGCTCGCCTGCCCTGCCCTTCCTCCTGAGCTGTCTCCTCTGCCCTTTCAGTCTGTACCTTAGCACTTCCCCCCTTCCCACTCTAGGTCCCCACCCCAAGCTTCTCTTTCCCCTCCCATTCCACATCAGACACCTGGGGGCTTCCAACGTCTCCTTCCCATCTCTGCCATCGGGTTCTGAAGGCTCTGTGGTGGGGACGTGACCTGGGCTTGGTAGCAGGCTCTTACACAGAGGACCAGGGGAGGGCAACATGAGTACTGCATGTTGCCCTGTCCTGGTTCTGGGGGCTACAGACAGGTTGGAAAGCTGAGTTGCTGGACATTTAGGTGTGTGTGTCTGTGTATGCATATGTGAGCGGTAGTCCTGAATCTTCTGAGTGTGACTGTCATGTGTCTGTGTGAGAGGGAGAGTGGGGGGCTGTTGTACGTGGCATTGTGGGGGTAGCCTTGGCAATGATATTTTGGCTTACTTCCTCACTTCATTCGCTTCAGATGTCACCTCCTCGGGGAGGCCTTCCCTGACTTCCCCATCTAAACTGGCAACTAATCCCACCATTCTTGGTCCCCTCACCCTGCTTTGTCTTTTATTCATGACACTTATCGCTGCCTGAAATTTTATTATACATTTTTGTGCTTATTAACTGCCCACCCCGCCCCCCGCCAAAAAAAAATGTCAGTTGACTGAGTGACTGTTGTGCACCAGGTACCATACAGGGCAGTTTGGGTTTGTTGGCTCTTTCAGTGTAATGTGTCTTTCTCTGAACAACAGAGATGATACTTATCTCTCAGCAGTGCTGATGGGAGAGTTAAATGAGGTAATATGTGTAAATGCTTAACACGGCGCCTGGAGCACAGCAAATGTCAATACTTCACAGTTGTTTTATTTGTGGCCATATAGGTCTGACTGTCACATTTGTGGGTGTCTGTGGGGATGATTCTTGGTTTGGTGCGTGCCATTCTGTGTGCATCAGAGTACGCACATCCCTGTGATCCTTCATCAACACGTATTTATTCAGCAGTTCTGTGTTGGGTATTGGAAATACAACTGAAAAGGCAGTTTTAGTTCTGTACCCCTGGAGTCCCTGGTCCAGTGGGGAGACAGATGTGTTATCAGACAGTGGGAGGTATAGGCAGAGGGCTCAGGGCTGGGGTGCAGAGGCACTGGGACTGTGGGAGCCCAGAAGACTTGTCCAATTCAGCCTGTGGGATGCCAGGGAGGGCTTCCTGGAGGAGGGGATGTCTGGGCTGAGATGTGAAGAATGAGCGGGTGTGAGCAAGGCAAAATGTTGAGGAGGGGGTTGAGATGGAAGGAAGATACCTTGCAGGTTGGCATGTGATTATTTACTGAGGTGACTATATGTGCGACCGTATATGTGTGTGTGCACGTAGTGTGGACACAAAGATCTAGAGCATCTGCACACACATGCTGTCCGCTCCACCCCTGACTCATCCCTTTCTGGGATTGAATGAGGGTCTCGTACATGCCAGGCGCTGGGTTAGACCCTTTACTTGAGCTTTCTCACAGAACTGCCTGCCTGGGAGGCCTGGACAGGAAGTAATAGGCTGTGTGGCCTCAGGCAGGTCACTCATGCTGCCTGGTCTTGGGCTCCAAATCTGTGAACTGGGTTCAGGGGTCCACCCTGGTCATACCCCAGGATGAGGTGGCTCTGGGTGTGTTAGTGGGTGCGCTTCTGGGCGTGTGTCCATCTGAGTGACCTGCATGTATGTGTGGATGCACATCTGTGTCTCTCTGCATACCTGTCTGTGAGTGACTCTGGATATGTGTGGGCACATCTGTGTCTGTCTGCCTCTGGATGTGTGAGTATGTAAATGTGTTTCTGTCTGAGTGACTCTGGGGTGTGAGTGTGTATATGTCTGTGTGTGCATCTGAGTGACCTGAGTGTGTATTTATTTGCACATCTATATCTATCTGTATGTGTGCCTGTGAGGGACTCTGAATGTGTGACTGTGTGTGTGTCTGTGTGTGTGTCTGAGTGATTCTGGATGATGAGTGTGTGAATTATGCGTGTATCAGAGTGACTCTGGATGTGTGAGTGTGTGTCTGGGTGTGAATATGCGAATGTGTGTAAGCGCAGGTGTGCACACTCATGTCTGGGCCTGTGTCTTCATCTGCACACATTCCTGCCTGGGATCTGTACACACGCGACCTCGTGTGTGTTTGCAGGTCCCCGTGTCATCCATGTTTCGGGCTCTCCTTGCTGTGACTGTGGTGTGTGTGCTGTGTGGCAGCTCTTGCCTGTTGCCAGCGTAGCTACGGGCCCACATCTCTTGTTGTGTCTGCTGTTATCTCCATCCCTCCCTCCTGACAGCTCAGAAGTGTTCACTCCCTTGAGGCCGCCCAGGGACAGCTGTGGGGTTGTGGGGGTGTGAGGTGCGGCTCCCGGGGAGGCCGGGACTAGGCCAGCTGGGCCCACAGCGGTTCCCGGCAGCGAAGACCCTGCCCACAGGGGCTCCCAGGCCAAGCCTTGATTGAAGCGGGCTGTGGAGGCAGGGGACCCAGGGGACAGGCCAAGCGGGGCCAGGAGGGGTGAGGGGCAGCCCTTGGGCCCTCTATATTTAGCCCCGTTTTCGGTAAGTGCTAACGAGAAGCTGACCCAAGTCTGCTAAAACCGGCTGGGGGAACTGCAGAGGAGAAGTGAAAGTCGGGAGGGAGGGGTGATGAGAGGAAGGCAGCCAGAGTCCCTGGCCTGGGGCGAGAGTGTGAGGCCAGGGGTGTGGGCAGCCTGGGTGGGTTCCATTCGAGGATGGTGGGAATCCAGGGGCCCGTAGGGTTCTGCATCACTTTCCCCTTCCCGTTCCACTAAAAGATTACACACTGCCTGGGATAGGCAAAGGGCGGGGATGGCCATAAATGACCAACCAATCTTTCTGCGAGAGGGGCTTCTGAAGTTTCCAAGGGGCAGGGGCACATTAGACTCACCTGGGGGGCTTTTAAAAACCCGATACCCCGGTGGAACCCTGTCCCGGTGAAATCAGAGTTTCTGGGTGGGAATAGCATCGGTATTTCTGTAGGCAGGAGAAAGAGGCGTTGGGCACCCCTGCCTGAGCCCCAGTGGAGACAGCCTGCAGGATGGAAGGCTCAGTGGCCTCTTGACGGGGTGGCCAGTGCCCTTGAGTTTCCATTAAGGCATCATTTGGCTTTGGGTTCACAGTGGCGATGGAGTCCCGTATTTGTCCTTGGTGGGTATGATTTGATGAGACCCTTTTCTCAAATTGGGCTCTGATGGAGAAGAGCAAGAGAGGCCTGGGCAACGGGCAGCACTGGCCATTTTGCCATCTGCCCAGCCAAGGGCTGCAGGGGTGCGTGGCTGCGTGTGTGTGTGTATGTGGGAGGTGGAGCGGTTAGACTGAATAAGGGAAACAGAGTGGTGGAAGTAGCCCCCCAAACCACTTTGGCCTCTCTAGCCACTATCCCTGCAGAAGGGATGTTACCTTAAGGGTGTAAGTTGGAGTTGCTTGGGAATTGGGGCTGAGGGTTGAGGTGTCAGGTGACAGCACGGGGAGGGGCTTGTTTGAGACAGATTTGGGTCCTGGTCCCTCAGAGATTCTTTCGTGCATTTATTAATTCCAAAGACACGGTCCCAGGCTGTGCAATGATGACTCCAGCCTGGGCCCTACGGAGCCCACAGTCTGGGGTTGGGGGTCACTGCCCAGGTGGCCAGGGCATGTTAGGGAGCCCAGATGAGAGAGACACTGATCTCCTGGCATCAGGGAGGACCTCCCAGAGGAGGTGATGTGATGGCTGGGGCCTGAAAGAGGAGCGGGAGTGTTCTGGGGGAGAAGGCGAGGTCGCCTAAGGCCTGTGAAGAGTAGGGACAAAGGCCTGGAGGAGGGACATCAGGGCTTGGGGCCACCCTTGTTTATTTAACACACACGTCCTGTGCCGGGCAGTGTCGGGGACCCCAAAATGAGTCACACCTACCCTTGAGGGAGGTCCTAGTCTGTTGGAAACATACCGGGCCCCGGATGGCTATGGCCTCTAGGACAGTGACAAGGGTTGATGCCAGGTCAGGGTGGAGGGAGCAGGGGAGAGACATCTGGGGGCATCAGGGGTACTGACTTCATAGAGGATGGAGCCTGCGTTGGGGGTCCTAAAGGATGAGGAGGAGGTCGCTAGGTGGACAGAGAGGAGAACAGCATTCCAGGCAGAGGGACCAGCCCATGATGAGGTCTCAGGAACATTTGTTAAAAGAGAAAAAGCAGGACAGAGGCAGGAACAAGTAAGAGAGAGAACTGCAGAGAGGGGCAGCCAGAAACATTCATAACCTATTCTTCTGAGCCGGTGATGCCAGGGACCCAGCGATGAGTCAGACCCAACCCTGCCCTCTGGTCTGGTGGGAAAGGACCGGGACACAGAAGACCACAGTCCTGTGGGCTCAGGGCTGGGACCGCGGGAGGGCACAACTGTGGGAGGCTCTATTAGTCTGCTAGGGCTGCTGTAACAAATAGCACGGACTGGGCGGCTTAAACAACAGAGATTAATTTTCTCGGAATTCTGGAAGCTAGAAGTTCAAGGTCAACGTGTCATCAAGGCTGGTTTCTTTTGACTTGGGGTGGCGCTGTCTTCTCCCTGTGTCTTCACTTTGAGTGTGTCTGTGTCCCAATCTCCTCTTATAAGGACACCAGTCATGTTGAATTAAGGCCCACCCTAATGGTCTCATCTTAGCTGAATTACCTCTTTCAAGAGCTTGTCTTCAAATACAGTCACATTCTGAAGTACTGGGAATTAGGGCTTCAACATACAAATGTTGGGGGACACAACACAGCCCACGATAGAGGCCAAAGATGAGCATGGACTCTGGGTAGAGGTGAGGTCAGAGGCTGCCCTCGTCTGTGGGCAGGGGAGGCAGCCGCCAGCTAGGCGGGGGCTACCGAACCTGCAAGAGCTAGACTCCCTGTCAAGCGGAACCTCCGAGCAGAAGGAGATGCCTGGTGTGGTTGAAGGGCATGATGCATGAGTGATTAGAGGTGGCAGCAGAGGGTGGCAGGGGCCACACCCCAAAAGCCAGGCTGAGGAGCCTGGGCTTTTCTTGGGGAAATGGGGAGCCAGGGAAGGGCTCAGGGCCAGGGAGCACTGGGCGTGGGAAGGATCTCCCTGGGGCACCGTGGACACTGGCTGGAGGGAGGGGGCAGGGGTCTCAGGGCTGCATTAGGGTCAGCAGGTGCGTGGAGCAGGGCCGAGGCCAGGGCAGTTTAGAGCCAGGATCAGCCAGGATTCTCGCCTCTGACGCCTGTGTCAGGAGCAGGGCCTCATCGCTGCTCTCTTTGCGACCTCCCGTGTTTCTCAGGATCCTTGGCCACTCGGTGCCCCACCCCCAGTGCCCAGAAACAGGGCCTGAGCTCCTCCCGTACCATCCTGAGCACCTGCTTCCCGCCGCGCCCTCACCAGCTACGCCTTAGCAGGGCTACATGCTGGCTTAGTCTTTTTATTATTTTATTTTTTTTTTAGCTTTTAAATTTTTTCTTTTTTTTGTGGAAATATTAATGTACATATAATAAAGTGCTCAAATTTTAAGTGTACAGCATGATGAATTTTCACACATGTACAGACTCACATAACTAGCAAACAGATCAAGATACAGAACATCTACAAACCCTACAACTTTCTCCACAGCCTTTCCTTGTCAGCATCCCCCGAAAGCACCCACTCGTCAGACCTCCATCACCTGGCATTATCT